CCCGAGTAATCATCATACCAGTAATCAACAATCACGCTCACTGACGCTTCAGGCGCTGATTAACAGGCCACCACCGCCCCTAGCGATGAACGCGGTTACGTGGCTGGCATGTGGCGTGTTGATATGCGGTGGCATGGCAACCGCGTCCTATAAATACTGCGCTCCTTGCGCCTCACTTGCCCTATCTACAATCGTCTCCAAGGGTAGGTTAGAGTGACCAGACCAAAAGACTTCTTCCAGCGATCGCATCTTCTTCTGAACTGCTTCCTGGAACCCGAATATTCGCTTCTATCGGCAATCTGAGGCTTGAGATAGGGTATCCAGGTCAGTTCCCAATCCATCTTCTACCTACACCAGAATGGTCTACCTGCCTTAGTTTCCTCTATCCATGTGATTGGATTAGAACGTTAATTATTGAGACTGTCCCGCAGGAACCGCCGAGGGCGGTTACGCCATCCTGGTCGCGGGCAAGAAAACTGCAATTCCGACATTCGGCCCTCCAAACCCTCGTAATGGAATTCGAGCGGCTCAACTACTTGAAAGCAGACGGTAGGGACCTCGGGTTTCCCACTGTCGCAGCATTGAAAAATGGCACTAGGACACCACGTCAGCGGTTCATGTGAGCGGTCTGTCGAAGTGCGAAGCTGACGAGTTCCCTATGGTTGACAACACGAAGACAGGGGAGAGAGACTAAGTTAAACAGGCTTTGCTGCTGTAAGGAAATACTGAAGGCTCAGCAAGCAGCTGCCGCACGCTGTCTCTTCGGGAGTTTTGTCGTTGTCAGTGTCCGCCGCTGCGGTTCCCAACCACCAGCACGTGTGTACGTCTGGATTGTCTGCCTGTAGCCAATTAGCAAAAGAGCAGCGCTGACAGTCTTCGAGCCCTTGCGACGCCAGTGGCAAGTCTCGCGCGGTCCCAGCGGCGAATCGACAGCGAGAGTGAGGTGGGCAGAGGGGTAGCACCACAAAGCGGCGGCGACCAAGTGAGCAGACCGTCACGGGTCTCCGGGAGATCTGCAATCCCTGCATCGACCACAACACAGCGGGCGCACAAGACGATGCGATACCGCCCTAGCTTTCAAGCATTTTGATCCTCCATACTAGCGAGCCTGGTGACCCGGCCAAAGTCGTCTAGCACGAAGTTCCACTCTGACTGTTGCATCCCATCAAGAATTTTTCGAAGGCATCATCTACCTACACCTCGGATTCAATAATAGGGGTAAAAGTCGAAGCGCGATGGCTCGACAACACAAGATTTCCCAAATTTAGTCGTGGAGACAAGGGAATCAGGGGAGTGTACAGTCGATTCAGCAGGAAGGAGAAGTAGCTGTCCCCTCCAGCTGAGAGCCTGTTGGTCATGTTGTTATCCCCGGTAAAAAATGCGTGCGCCTGATAACTGTCCGTCTGTAACTAATCAGCAAGGGACACCACGCCAACGGGCGCCGAGCTATCGTCACGCCGCGCCAAGTCAGGCGCTATACAAGCAACCAATTGACAGGGGATGCCAGGCGGATTGACGGTAACACGGAATAGCGGTCGCACCAGCGACTACGAGAGCAGACTGCCACAACACCATCGACAGGTGCCCTTCCTATCAGACTGGAGTAATAAAACCCCAATATCAGCAGAAAGCCTTACCATTCATAGGTACCTCAAGCACACGTATGCACTCTGTTCTGGGTACAAGCTTCACCGTAGGGATCACGTGTCCAGCTGGATGGGAACATACGCACATTCAGCCATGGGAGTACCCATCTACGGAAGCGTGAGACTGAATCACCAAGCCGATACTGGCTCTCACGTGAGACGTACACTTGGTCGTCCGCGCTCACACCGTCCCCCGCCCCTTGTTCAGACACGCACTCTCAGATCTAGAGCCGACCGCACGTCGAGCGCCCAAACAGCTATGGAACTTCCGTGCGGAATACTTCCACCCATGCTGACGCTTCTCCATTATTAGCAGACAAGACAGGACTGCGAGTGACTGCTAATATGGTGATGTAGGCCACCTGGTGCAATAACCAGACCAAATCGTGGTTACCAGGAAACCACAAAACCAGGATTGGGGCTTACCCTCTAAGGGACCGTGGGCTGCTGTCTCCGACAACAGTGGCCAGAGCGTTACTGACATTCTTATGGTTTGCTTTAGAGTGAGTTTGTGGCAATCGTTGCCTGTGTGGGTTTTGTGGGCGCAAGCTGAAGTATCCTACACCCAAGTGGCGCACGAAGCAAGGACAATCCCGGTTGTCTGGATGCGCGTGTTGCAGTCGATTAGACCGGGACCACTTGCAAGGTAAACAATGTTGACGCCGCAGGGCGCTAAGCAAAGCTGAGGTGCATCAGAACGGCCGCTGTCGGTCCCAAACCCGTCATCTTAGATGCTAGACGCCCTGCTCCCTCCCTCTGCCGGCAACTGCGAGATCGACAGGGATGGATGTATAGTGTCTTATCCCGCTAGCGGACGAATGACTGAGAGGAAAACACGCTTTTCGTAAGAAACGACTCTCTCGTGGACCGGTATGTCGCAGTAGATACCACCAACTAGGGGGCACTTTACCGGTGCATCAAGAAAACCGCTTGAAGGATAAAGGTATAGGACGACAACCGCTCCCCCCATAAGGTCTCGCTTTTAAAGCTCTGCTAACTAGGAGACTGGCATGCGATAATTGCTTTAAATCCACGATCATTCCTCCCATACATATCAGGACCAAACTCGGCAACACACAGCCAGGGGTTAAACACCAAGGACTCACAGTGAATAATTCCAAAGTTAGTTTAGCAGCAATTTTCAGAGCGTCTAAACACTAGGGCGTAATTGGTGCGTCGGGTGATATGCTAGTGAATCAAATTTCGCAGAGTGAAATGATGCGAACACAAAAACAGCAAACCAACAGCTTACCCTGCCCCCCGATCGGTATCCATTTATGGCTAGTTTACGAAATTTGAGGCACGCTGATAAAGTGAATTCCCCGTACTCAAAGCGTGCAGCCCACTAACCATGAGCGCCTGGTCAGAAACATATTAAAAGGATTAAAAAGGTCAGATGAATCAACAAGGACGAGCGATCTATCAAGAGGTATCCCAACTGGCATGGTCAGTCTTGTTCAAAACACAGACGGTCTTGTCCTCACAGACGAACATGGTCAGGACGAGAAACGAAACCGCGACCAGTCGCATTAAGGGGCGTGTGGGCTACCAGTCGAATTAGGTGTCAAGAGGATGGAAATTGGCCAGGTGAGGCCGCCATTACGTGGCTATAACAGGGATTTGCGGAGGCGACCAAATCCCGCCGATCCCGAAGCCGGCTCCATTTTGCCGGTGCAGAACAACATGGACTGCCGCCCCACATTGTTGTCGGTCGGAGACTCTGGAGCAAGTCAGTCAACCGTACGTAAGCCATGCACACACAGGACCGCAGTGCCGGAGACGGACCAACAGTCAGCTTTCGTCAAGTCCACTAATTTCTTGGGTCACCTTGACGCCGTCGATAGACGGAGCCGAATTTTGCCTGGATGGCATCCAGGCGATCCCGTCCTAGTAGTGCAGAACACGAATGACCCACCCCGCTCAGAGAGTAATGACACCACTAATTCCCCGCAAGCATAAACTCGAGGCCAAAGCCAGTGTGGATAAATAGCGCGATACCCATTTCACGATCTCTCAAAAAATATGCAACCATCCAGGAATCACTGATACGGCCAACCAGTAGAAATAACAAGGAAGTTAACATAATAACACGTGGACACGGCCGACAGCTGCTCCGCCGTTTTTCCCCGCAGCGCTCAAAGTGATCTTGGCAAAGGTTGACGCACTAGCCGAGAGAAGTTTGGTTAGACTGAGCGCTACTTCACTGGTGGCACCAGACCCGGAGGCTGCAAGGACTAAGGCCTGATAAGAGCGTCGTAATACGGCTCGCGAGTCCCGGTCAAGGCCAGCCAAATAGACGGTTAAAAGGTGGGAGCCCACTCAAAACCCGAAGCCCAGTCACGCATCACTGGGACGAGGAGCAGCAATCTCGTCCCCTGTGGTAAATCGACACGTGGAGCGTCCTTCGCCGCGGTCGTGACTGACTGAGTCAGAGCCCCGAGGGCTACATCCTGTCACGTACCCGCCGGCGTCTGTGTGGCAGTGGAACTCGGTCGAAATCACGCTGCGCCTTGTGCGCAAGAGATGGCGCTTGAGAGAGTTCCCCAAGTACCTAGGACCAAAGACCTGGAGCTGTATTAAGGCTATCCACGACTTTACCGAATAGTATTCACTGGAACGAACTAGCACACCTGATTCGGCCCACCCACACCCTCCCTGACCGTAGCACAACTTCCTTGCGACAAATCCCCCATCACCAAGCGTTAAGACCTGGAAGCCGGGCGACAAACATCTGGCGACTAGTATCATCTGCCTGTCAGTGGTTTTGACGTGATTAAAGCACAACCACATCTGAAAACCAAAAGTAACGGGTCCATGCTTGAATTCTACTTCCATTTCCCAAAATGCTGGTTGACGAACGCAGACTGGCCACTTCGGCTTGCCTACAGTTCGCAAAATTACTCGAATCTTCTGTGGCGTAATCAGTTACGTGCTTGTGGCAGGTCACAATTTACGCTGGTCGGTCATCGCGGTGTATGCACTCTTAAGGACCGTAATCGGACAACGCCTTACGCCCAACGTGGTCCAACAGAACGGGAGTGCTTATATATCAAACACCCAGCAGCAGCATGCGGGAGTGTGCGAGGATCACCAACGATCCAAACACATATGTTATGTAGGCAGAGAAGTCGAAAAACAACCGAACCATCCTTATAGGCAACCTGAATCCAATTAAGTCTACAAAAGCACGTAGATTGAGTTGTGTTGACAGCATAAGCAGCTAAGCCTCCAAAGGCACACTCGAGCGCCAAACAATCGCAGGGTACTCTGTCAGCAGTCTTTGCCTCCATTTGATAAAACAAAATGCCGGGACGAAGAAAACATTTTAGACACAAAGATATCGAAATAAACGCATTATCGGATGGACAACAATTCGACGTCAAAGATCAAGGTAGAATTCGGCGGGATAACACCTTGGACACCGCGAGCACCATAGGCGTAATCGGGAGAAATTGTCAATTTCGACCGCTCGCCGACGGTCATCTTCATTAGGCCCTCATCCCAGCCTCGAATCACCTATGGAAGAAGGGTTAATTACATACAGGAGTTACTTCGCCCTTGCCAACAGTGAATTGGAAAGGCTTGCCACGGTCACGAGAGGAGTCAAATTTTTTGCCGTTCGTGAGCGTGCCTGTATAATGCACCTCAACCTTTTGGCCAGGCTTTGGTGTTGTTGTTCCACTGCCAGGGGTCAAAACTTCGATGTCAACTCCCATCTTAGATATCTAAGCGGCGCTCCAACGCACGTCCAATGCAACTAAACAAGGGATTAGGGCCCAGTCGCAGAAACTCATTCGGATAAAAAACTTAGTATCAACCCTAAAATTGAATGTTTTGAAGCCTCTTGTTCTTTTTCCTTTTGCCTCTTATGGGAATTAAGCAACATTGGGGTACCGGAATCTTCAGTGGGCAGGAGAGCTGGCAGGCAGACTGCCAAGACGTGACTGCAAAAATCTGTCGACGAAAGCATTCCCATTAATCTACAGGAGTATAATTTAAAGTAAATGTTGAGATTAAAGGTAAAGCAGCTGAACGCTTACTTCGATTTCGGTCTCGAATGTCCTCCAATCTAGGCAAAATCGTTTTGCACTTTACACAGTCTATGTCGACTTCATAAAGGGTTTTGATCGCGTGGACCATTCGCTTCTTCTTTTAAAACTTCTCTCTTTCGGAATGGGTGGCAAACTTCCAAATTTTGTATCCTCTTGCTTGGGCGCTCGCTCACAACTGGTTAAGATTGCCAATGCTCTCTCCAACCCCACACGTGTGAGGAGTGGAGTCATTCAGGGTAGTGTACTCGGTCCGCTTTCATTTTACCTTTTTTTCCAACGACGTGCCTGATTAATTTCAAAATCGTAAACCCTTTGTGTATGCCGATGACCTGAAAGTTTCATGCAGGTATAAGTCGGTAGATCATGACATCGTACTTGAGCTCCTAAAGAGCGACTTACAGGCCTTTGCCCAGTAGTTCTGCACATGGCGTCTTTCTCTTCTTTGACATGAACGCTCAGTCATGGTGGTTGGCGATGATCGCCAACCCCAATTAAGTATAGACGATCACAAGCTAAGCGACTTCGCTCGCTTAGCCGTAATTCGCTGATACTAGTTACCCTTTTCTCCATGATAGAAGTCGATTTTATCTTGTCGAGTAGGGAGAGGACTAGAGACTTCTGCCGTAAATGGCGCTGCTCCGTTTCGCCAGACCTCACACCCCTGCAGCGAAGACTGAATAAACTAAAATCGGCAAAAACCAACACCAAGATAATGACACCTACTGTCAGTCTGAATATGTCCTCTACAACACCACCTGCGGCATCTGCAAGTCACGGCATAGTTAATTCCATAGGGAGTTCGACTACTTTTAATGCTGACCTCTTTAAACACACC